CCCTCCCCTTCTGTAATTCTCTGCATAAAAATGGGGAAACTTATTTTCTCTCTTTCATTGAATCTGAAAAAGTGAGCGCTGACTCATGAAAGCTCATGCTGGAATAAATACGGTTAGTCTTTAAGGTGCCACTATTCTGTAATGTGGAGAAGAGTCTACGTGGCATCAGTTCAGGAGCTGAATGCCTCTGCCTTCTACTTCAAACAAAACCACATTTCTCAGGCTTTCCTGCTAGTTCCAAATGGGTGATTTTGAGTCGAGCAGGCATTTGCCCAGTAGTAGGATTGCCAGCCCCAAGGTCCGGGCAGGGGTTCCCCCACTTCTGTGGGCTTCAATCCACCCCCAGCCAACTGGCCAGTGGGGAAAGCCTCACCCCAAAGCACCACCCCTAAGTACAACCACCCACCCGGCCACCCCTCCCCTCCTGCCCAATTTAAAGGGTTTCAGCTGATCAGCGGGGACCACGTGGCCCACCGATCAGCTGGAGGGCCCTTTAAATTTAGCAGGAGGGAGGGAGAAGGGCGGTTGCGGGCCACACGCTGGGTTTGCAAAAAGTCCCTTCAAAGGACTTTTGGACTTCCTCTGCTTCCTGTGGCGGTCATTTTGTGGTTGTGCCCACTAGCCTGTGTCAGAATTCCAAAGGTGTCCATAAGGCTCAAAAAGGTAGGGGACCCTTGTGTTAGTCTGTTGCAGCAAAAATAATCAGGAGACTTGTGGCATTTTAAAGATGACCAGGTTTTTATTCTAGCTTAAGCTTTTGTGAACGAGATAGAGCCCCTTTTGTCCCCACAAGTCCTGTCCTCAAACTGAGGTTCTGATATCTGATTACTTTAAAATTAGAGGAATCTTCATTTGAAACCATAATTCTGGTTATTGGGCCATACACATTGAAGAGAGTAACCCCATACATCAGGGACCCATTTCTCTATTCTACAGCTGTTTTCGAAGTTCAATATCCAAGGGTGAAAATGTGGAAAACATGGTTGCTATGCTTTGGATGTACAAACACATCCACTCTAAATTGTTGGGAAATCTGTGGAAAATACCTGTGGGTGCTTACACAGGACAATGAGATTATTATTTTCAAAAATGGCTTCAGATTTGGACTTTGATAAATATTAAAATGGCTTCAGACTTAGATTTTGATAAAGAGTAGACTATACTTGATGCTGGAGTTCTGTGATGGAACTTCACATGTGTTATTTGGGCTTAGGAGGCATGAAGAAGGTGAGGGCCATATGGATTGTGGCCAAAATAGATTGTGGCACACTATTATAGAGAGAGAAAAAATGTAAATAGTAGAATTAAAAGGCTGTGAAACGCACGTAGTACAGATTGGGACTATTTCCACGTAAAAGTTAAATATGGTCCCCCATTATTTCTGTGGTGACTGGTACTTCTCTTGATTGTGTTTAAGTTTTAAATAGAAATATCACAGCCTGTTCTTGTATCTCATGGTCTTTTGCAAGATATCCAGCTCTCATCTGACTGCACTCACCCTTTGGCAAACTCTTTTAGCTCACATCTAAAGTATTTGACAGCCGCAGTGATATAGTGTTTAGAGTGCTGGGCAAGGAGCTGGGAGATGTGGGGCAAACCCCCCTTTTAGCCATGACTTTTGCTTCATGACCTTCAGCCAGTTGCTCTCTCTGTCTTTTTCTTTCAGCCTAACCTAGCCACTAAGTTCTTGGGAGAATAAAATTAGAGAGGTGAGAACTATGGATGCTGCTCTGACAGAGACAGAATGAGATTTTTTTTTAATGGATTCTGCAGTGGGAAAGATTCAAGGGTTTCCCCTCCACCTCCGTTTCCTGCTGTTAGGTCTATGCCCTTTGATCTGCCAGGCTCCATCCTTAAACCTGACCAGAAGCTTGGAAGGAGGCACTCTGAAGCTTCCCCCCCACACACACACCATATTTTCTTCTCAATATGTCCCTGCTTTTTCCTTTTGGTCTGTACGTCTGTACGTCTGTTAAACGTTCCTGTTCTGAACCAGGCCATTGGTTCGTCTGTTCCCATGATGGTTACTGGCATTGACTCTGGCAGTACAGTTTCTTTAAATGGGGCTTGCCTGAAACAGGATGGTATATGGATTGAAAAGGCCCAAAAGGGATGCCGTGGACTCCAGCAGACTTTTGGGTACAGTACCTCTACAGCCCCCTCAGATCCAGGTAGCAGCCACACTTGTCTATGAGACGACAGCTGCAAGCTACACCATTTGCCTCCTCTCACATTGCTGCCCTTCATTGATTTGGCACATCAAGCAGCTTCTTGGGTCCCTGGGCTGGGGTGGTGGGACTGAACTTCCCTTGCTTGAAAAGCTTCAGCCCCCCCTAGGCATCTGAGCCTGACTCAAAATGGCTTACAAAATGCCCATAGCTGCCCAGCTGGCTCTAAACAGAGGAAAGGCTGCCCCCCTCCCCGAAAGATTGTGTTAAGGGGTTTATCTATGGGGAATAAGTGCAAAACTCTGATGCATGAAATTTATATATAAAAAAACTTTCATAAGACTTTATTTGTATCACATCTAGAATGAAAACATTAAATAAAACCATTAATGTAAAATTACTTCCTTTTTTATGATTTATTAAGCACCTGAAAACTGTTGTGTTAATAAAAAGGGACCTTAGCATTTTTATTTTTAGGGTGTTTTTTAAAAAAAACACAGCAGGTACTTTTATCCAAGCTTAATAAAAAATGTTTTATTACATAAATCCATTTTTGTTAGATGCAGCTTAAGAAATAAGGGTTTGCATAATAAGTTTCGGTTATCCTCTAAACTTCTTGCAGAAGGATGATAATTTAACGCCAAACTGCAAAACTATTTAAATTACTGAGAAGCTCAATGGTGATATCAACCAGAAACTGTTGCTGTGGCTCTCGCATGTTGTTTTGTAAAGCTTCGTGTTCAGTTCAGTTCCTGCAGGAGCTGAACTGCAGGAAACTCCCTCCTCCCCCGCCATAACGCCTGAACTACCACTTTTTCTTTCTACAGCACTTACCTCACGTCCCAAGCACATGAGGGATCCAGTCACTTCACAGCTTCTCATTCTTTTATTTTTGCTTTTAAAGTATTTATTTTTATTTTTTCCTATAGGACCAGTGGCATTGGCTGCGACAGCAATTTCTTGCTTTTAAGGGCTGTGACAACAAGAAATGTAATCATCACAGCATGCGCTACGCAGCTCAATTTGATGGGCTGTGTGGGAAGTGACTTAGGGCTCATGAAAGAAGTGGTCAGGCCAGATAAACTGGTGACGCTCTCTCCACGTGTAGGCTTTTTAGCTGCTTTCTGCAAGAATTTCCTAGATAAAGGCATGCTGGTTTGGACCTGATAAGCTTATTTCAATGGCTGCTGTTCTCCAATGACTCCCATTTGGGCTCACCGCACATGTATTCCCCCAGCAAAGCTGTTGCATTCTGCACTGTATGCAGTGGGGAAGGTGGGGTATGGAAAGAAAGTGCTCTGTATGCTGCATTCAGGTCTGAACTTTCCCTAAAAACATAAACACTTTCTCATCTGTTCCTGTACTAACCTTACGTATGATGAAATGAACTTTGTGGAGACAAAGTGCATTAGCAATTGCTTTAGTTCTAACTTATCTAATGGTGTTTGGGTAATTATAAGGCTACTTTTCTGATTTAAGTTGGATGATATGAGTCAGATCTTTCCTTCCCTTTTACCTTTTTGATTTCCTGTATATCACAAAAAGCAATTCATTTTGTTACAGAGCACTCACTAAAATATTCTAGATTTCTTTCCATGTCTTAAAGCCAACCATAATTTTTTTTAAAAAAGTTAAACAAGACTAGATAATTGCGCAGACCATAATGCAGGCCATATGTTCCATCTCAAATACTTATTTGTTGATTCTGCAGACTCCAAGTTGTGCTGTATAATCATTTGCTGTTATACACAAAATTGAACAGCACAATTCTGCTTTGAATGCCAAGTGAGCCCCCCTCTCATCATTTTCAGGCAGAGAGTGGGTTGTGTTGTGTTGTGTGTGAGAGAGAGAGAGAGACAGAGAGAGTTTAAGGCTCTTTCCCCTGGCATCCCATTTAACTGAATAACTTAAACTCTACCTGCTTCATATATGTGGCTCTGTTTTGGCAGGACTTAAGAAATGATTTGCACAGTGTCTGTGGTTTTCATTCTCTTTGGACCTGGCGAAACACTGCTGCAGTTAGCAGGAGCTGTGGTGCATGGGAAAGTGTTTCCATGAAGACAGATGACCACATGCTGCAGTAATAATTTTCACAGCCAACAGAATTTGATTGCAATTGGTTTTATTCCAGTGACTGCCATTGTTTCAGGGAACATAACGTGGCCATGGCGGGAATTTTTACATAACCAACATTAGCAAACAAAATACAGCTGGTATTCTCTCTCTGCCATAAGTGCCATTTAGTCCTGGTTGCATATGCTTACTTTTTGCACAAAGCACCTGGCCTGCTTCCAGCTGCCCTCTCTTTTGTATATTTGGAACAGCCTGGACCAGAGGGAAGAACTTCTTTCTCAAACCTCTCCCAGTTGACCCCACCTCCAGAGCTGGCCCAACCTGGGACTGATGGCTAGAGGGATAGTGACTTGGACAAGATCCCTATGGCCCAAAGGTACAGTGGCCAGCACTGGGTTGGGAAACACCTGGAGATTTGGGGGGTGGAGCCTGGGATGGGTGGGATTTAGGGAGGGGAGGGGAGGGACCTCAGCAGTACATAATGCCATAGAATCCATCTTCCAAAGCAGCCATTTTCTCCAGGGGAACCAATCCTGATCATCTGAAGATCAAATATAATAGTGGAAGATCTCCAGGTACTACCTGGAGGCTGGCAACCCTAGTCACCACACCCTTCCAACCCTCCCTAAACAAAAAATATAACTGATGCTCTTTCTTTTCCACAAGTCACAGGAAGCATATGCTTACACTTTCAGTACAAACGTTTCCTTTTAAATAGATGACTTTGGGTATTCTTCTTACTAGAGAGCTATTTGTGCTTTATTTTGACTTCTGATCTTCCATGTCGAGAGCCTGCAGCAGTGGGCCTTCAGAGGAATGCTGCTGTTCAGTAGCTCTGCGGGCTAATTTTCTGGAGTAATGCAGAATGCAGACCGCTAAAATTAAGACCAATATGGCAATAGCAACGAGTGGAACATCTCTCCAAAGGAAATCAAGGCAGTTGATTGGGGCAGGCTTCCGGCAACCTTCCAAGGCATTCCCACTCAGCTGGCTCAAGGCTCTCATCTTCACAGGAGCTGGACCCGCACATGTAATGTTGGCAAGAGAAGCTTCGTGGAAATCTTCCAGCCACATCTTGAAATATAAAATGGAGCAGTCGCAGTTCCAAGGATTGTTGGAAAAATCCACTTTCTCCACTTTTCTCAAGATGTCCAGTGTGCCAGGAGGGACTGTGGTCAAACTGTTGTTTTGCAGCTCAAGTATTAGGATGTCAATTGAGAGGAGAGGCAGCTCCTTCAGCCCCAGAGACGTGCAGTCTATTCGCCATCCCAATTTTCCTTGCAGCGGCTGGCACAAACAGGGAGGGCAGGGCTTGGCTTGCGCTGTGTGCAACAGCAGTAGCAAGAGCAGTCCACTGTTCATGCTGGTAGCTGCAGGACAAGAATATGCAGAGTGTAATGCATTGTTTTATATAAAATCTAGAATGCAAAGTTTTGTTTAGTTCATTCTGCACATAGAAAATCCAGAATTTCCTGTAAATATATAATCTCCTTTGGACAAATGGTTCCTAAACAGTGTAGCACAACTAGTATATTTGGATGCTATACAAGAGCAACAAAAGCAGAGGAGCTGGTAATCTATGAGTCTACTTTTGTTACTGTGTCATTATACCTGAGTTGGTACGAGTACCATTTAAACCCATTATTACAGAAAACTGAATTGCTTGAAGTATATGTCTAAATAGGGACTAAAATAAAGGAATTGCTGCAATCAGTTCACAAATTTACAGAATAATGACAAAAAATGGGCATTATCATGATGTATAAATCCCAAAATTCTTCTTTTAATCAACAGGTCAGATGACGAACATCTCGAGTTTCCAGAGTTCGTTTCGAGGTCTTTATCAAAATTCCTATTTAAAACAAACAATATTCATAATTGGAAACAGGAATCCCGACCTTAACAAGTTATTCACCATCAATAAATATTATATTTATACATACTGTTTTGCTGTATTTTTCAAACAATCCAATATAAGGAATCTCAAACTCTATAAGAATAATGATATTACAGTTAGTGCAACTTACAAAAATTTTTGTATTACAGTTAGTGCAACTTACAAAAATATTTTAAAAGGCTAAATTATAGCTCTGAATTGCATAGACATATATTTTACCAGAATGGCTACAAATAGCTCTTGTGTTAACCACTAGTTTCAACGGACAACGTCTTAGCCATTGAAGACAATCAAGTGTTTATATACAGATGTCAAGTCACATGACTTCAAGCTGGAGGCCAACTTATCAAGTACAAAACCTATTTCATTATGGTTAATGTAAAACCAAGAAATGCCCAGCTTAATTCTTATATAAAGAATTCATATTCTCTCCCAACAAGCAGAAGAATAACAAGGGAACATACCTATGATATTTTAGGAGCCCACTTGTTAAACACTAGCATATAGAGAACTCACACATTACACACAACATCAGTCAATATACATCCAAAGAATCACCACATAGAGGTTACTTGTAATCACAAAGAGCCAGGGTGGAGACGCAAGTAGGCATTGTTATTCACCTAAGAAACAGGAGAGCTCCAAAGCTGCATTTAACCCCCTAGGGCATTCTGTTTGTAGCTTAAAGGTCCAGTATGCCTCCCTCTGTAATAATATTTTATGTGTATCCATCACCTGAAATGGTTTTGAACGTACTGTTTCTAGTACTATACAATCAAAATCATTGTCTCCATGTCCAAACTCAATAAAATGTTGGACCATTGGAGCTGTAACATGTTTATGTTTGATTTTAGACCTATGTTCCAAAATGCGAGTCCTAAGGGCTCGGGACGTTTGTCCGACATAATGCAACCCACAGGAACAGGTGATTAGGTAAACTACAGTTCTAATTTGGTTCAGGCTCCACCCCTATGTCTTCAGGTATTTCCCAACCCAGAGTTGTTAACCCTACCTCAGGTGAGAGTGAGATTGCCAAGGTGCTCAAAGGAGAGCAAGCTGGCTGTGAAGCAAGCTAGCTGTGTACACAGTAGCCAAAAATACCGTATACAGTTCTGGTCACCACACCTTAAAAAGGATATTATAGCTTTGGGAAAAGTGCAGAAAAGGGGAACTAAAATGATAAAAGGGTTGGAACACTTTCCCTATAAAGAATTGTTAAAGCGCTTGGGGCTCTTTAGTTTGGAGAAACAACAGCTGAGGGGTGACATGATCGAGGTTTATAAGATTATGCGTGGGATAGAGCAGGTAGAGACAGAAGTACTTTTCTCACTTTCTCACAATACAAGAACTTGTGGGCACTCCATGAAATTGCTGAGTAGTCGGGTTAGAACAGAAAAAAGGAAGTACTTCTTCACCCAAAGAATGATTAACATATGGAATTCACTGCCACAGGAGGTGGTGGCAGCTACAAGCATGGACGGCTTCAAGAGGGAATTAGATAAGCATATGGAGCAGAGGTCCATAGGTGGCTATTAGCCACAAGGTATAGATAATAAATAAATTAAATAAATTAAAAATAAACAAATTAGCCACAAGGTATAGATAATAAATAAAATAAATAGGGACTCTGGGGCAAGCCGTCTTTTTGTTGGCATCATTCACTATTTTGCCCTGTGCCAAATTGCTTTACTTTGAAAAGATATGTATGCCTGAGTAATGGCATAATTCTAAGCAGAATTACACTCTTTTATGTCCACTGAAGCCAATGGGCACTTTGTTTAGGATTGCAGAGTTGTTGTGCCAGAATGTAGTGGGGCTCTGCATTCAGATTTACATCCCACTGGAAGCAGTGCAATGTAGATGGGAGGAATCAGCACTGAGAGCACATTTTTATGTGCATCAGATTTATATCTGTACTAGTTTCTGATCCACCAAGGAATGTGCATACAGAACATGTAGGGATTTCCTTAGATGATCTATTTCTGTATAATTTTTAAGTGCAATAAAATCTTAATATTACTATTGTAGAGTAAACAAAGTGCATGCCTGAGCCAGGGGTTTTTTTCGGGGGGAACACGCTGGAACAGAGTTCTGGAACCTCTTCGACAAAATTCTTTTAAAATTTTTTAAAAGTTCATGAGTTTTCCATATACAGACTGAAAACTTCATTTCCCTCTTGAGCGTTTTGGCACCTCTTTTTCCAAAAAAGAAGCCCTGCCTAAGGCAGAGTGCATGCCTGTGAATTTCTTCTTGGTGATACAGAACAGATAGAGATAAGTTCTGGAATGGAGAAAAATGTCAGACTCTGGGTCTATCTGTCCCCCCTCATCTATATAAAAAGTGATAGGGAATGTACAAAGAAAAACCTTGGAAACAATAACCTAATCTATGTCTTGGCATATATTTTATTTGTTCTTTTTTTTAAAAAAAAGACACAAATTATAGATCAGTTTTAGAATTTTGGCAATTTTTAATGAAAAGATTTTACAACGTGACAAGACATAATAAGCCCATTCAAAATCTGTTATTAAAAAGTTAATATGGGGGAAGATAGCTGGTTTTGCTGAAGTTATAGAAAGCAGAGGTAAGGTATGTGGCTGACCCTTTCTCCTCACTTTCTCTGTGCTATCCTCTTTGCCTTCTATCTACTGTAATGCAGCACAAAGTTGTTAACAGCTGAGTTACAACTGATGGGTTAGTTTGAGAAAGGCACCCAAACCATAGATATATTCCTGTCATCAATAAGAACACCCTTTCCAGCCTCAGTAGCCAGAACCAGCATACTTCAAAGTTAGCCTGAGCTAAATAGCAACTCAGTATAGGAGCTGCGGTGGCTCAAGTGGTTAAGATGCTGAACTGCAGGCTGTGGAAGGTTGGTAGTTCAGCAGTTCGAGACCCGAGTGTGCCGCATGATGGAGTGAGCTCCCATGTCTAGTTCCAGCTCCTGCCAACCTAGCAGTTCAAAAGCAAGAAATTGCAAGTAGATAAATAGGTACCACTTCAGTGGGAAGGTAACAGCATTCCGTGTGCCTTGGTGTTTAGTCGTGCCGGCCACATGACCACAGAAATGTCTTCGGACAGCGCTGGCTCTTCGGCTTTGAAACGGAGATGAGCACCGTAACCCTAGAGTCGGATTCGACTGGCTTTCGAGCAAGGGAACCTTTACCTTTTTATAGGAGGAAGGGGATATTAACCCATCTTGCTGAAAATCTTTACGTTCCTGATCCAAATAATCCACCCTATGCACTACCGTTGGTTTTTAATTTTAAAGAAAATATCTCCCTCCTATGTGATGTGTAGCTTGGTCCATAGCAGAGCCTGGTTGTAAGGCATGCATGCACAACATTTAGACAGGTGGGCAAATCAAAGAAGAAACTTTACAGCAATCCAAGTGGTGGCCTCTGGGTTTATATAGGGATGCCAGCCTCCAGGTGAGACCTGGGGATTCCCCAGTATTACAGCTCACCTCCAGACTCCAGAGATCAGTTCCCCTGGAGAAAATGGATGTTTTGGAGGTTGGACTCTTTGGCATTGTAACTCACTGAGGATCCCACTGAGGTCCTTCTCAGGCTCCATCCCCAAATCTTCCCAACTTGGATCTGGCAGCCCTAACCCCTCCATTCCCCACTGGTGGCTGGGGGGATCTGGCAACCCTAGGTTTATGTGGGCTCATCTGTTTCACCCCCAGGTTCCTTATTAGTCATTTGAATGTTGTAGGGAAGTCTCCTGACCAATCCAGTTGCAGCCACCTCTGAAGCACCGTAAATGTGGCCTATAAACTAATTGAAGGGAGTGGGAGGCCAAGTTTTGGAAATGATGAATAAAATACCAGAGCCATTGAGGTATTTTGGAGGGGAAACCCCAATCTAAAAACTACTGCCCTATTGGCCCAGACGTTGTTGCCCTAACGAAGCAGCTAGGGTGACCTTCTTAGGACTGGAAAGGAGGGGGGGGGACTATGAACCTCATCCATGGATTGCTGGATACAACTCCATGCTTTATTCAGAGCCTAACATGAAAGCCAGCTATCCAGTCATGAATACTTTCCAAATCCCAGTTTGGTATATAGTTCAACAGACTGAAGATCATACTAGATTTTTTCCCCTAAAGGATTATAAACACTGTCCACGGAAGAGGGACACCTTTCAGTAGAAAGAAAATGGCCAGATTTGGTTGTGCAAATCTATTTGAGAAGATCACATGCTATTTAATTGAGTGGAAACTTGCAAAGAGATAACTGGCCTGATGAAAAAGCATTGTTAAGCGGGATCAGGACAGGCTTCCATCTGCCTCAAAGAAGGACAAGCAAATACTATCCTACTGAAGTCAGCATAGCTTAATAAGGTAGTTAAGGAACAGCAATCAAGCAGAAACATCTTGTAGAGCTGCCAGCTAGAAGACTGATGATATGCACCCTTACCTTTTCTTTAGGGAAAATGGAGCTGTCTTTTGCAAGTTTGCAGCA